AATGGCATCTTCATTACTTAACACTTTCCTGGCATACCATGGACTTAGCAATCCTATTATTTTACGGAGATCGCTGAGGTTTGGCTGCAAACTTCATATAACCCACTCTCCCAAAATTTTCCCTCAAAAAGAGTATGGGTCAGTTTGCTAGAACAGTAGCAGCGTATCAGAAAAGCTGAATGAGGCAAGTTTGGCATTGCAATACTTGTGAGCATATAGTTGTTGTAAAAAGAGGTATGCTCCATAAACTAACCACAGTGCACTTGAGAACTTTCTTTTAAAAAGCACACCACCTGTAAGAGACAAAAACTTTACACCTTCAACCCTTTTGCTGCACATTATTTTCTCACCGCTTTTCTGAAATGATGCAATTTTAAGATAAAATTATGAAAAAATATCCAGAACAACATTACAGAAGATCGCTATATACAATTATGTGAGCAGGATTCGCATATTGGATGTATTAATTACAGGAAGCAACATTCATCAGCCCTGTAAGATAGTAACCAGACAGATAAATACATGTCATGCAATTTGAGCTTGTACATGCAAACCACTTCTACAAGTTATGGATGACTTCCAACATGCTGATGCAAGCAGTCAGCAGCAGCTGGAGGTCCTATTGCATAAAGAGAACACACTTACATTGAGAGCTGGAAGAGGTATTGGCTTAGATATGATGAGTGCTTCACCAGTGCGTTGGTCCACTTGTGCGTACAGGGCTGGGCATTGTAGACAAGAGAAGCTGTACTTGATCTGCCATAGGAAACACAGCGGTACATGATTGAATAAAGCACACAACAGATCACAATGCTGTGCAGTACTTAGATAGTGCTTCCTGTGCTGGTAGCTGCAGATTCTAGATAATTCACACTAATTTCAATTGGTCTACCAGTCTTATATTTGTGCAATTTTTATGTCATCAAGACATTTACTTATAGACCAAAGCAGTTCAACAAAGATCTTTACTTGTGATCACTTATTATCCTCCAATTTCTAATTATTACCACTTGTTTCAAGCTTTAGTATATGGTTCTACATGAATTGCCACTTTGGAACTGTGATGTTTCAATGTCACGTATCAGTGCTTACTTATACTTGTGTCAGCCATAGCACATGCACACAATTTACAGAATGTCAACACAAACAAAGAATGTTAGAAAATGTACACATAGCATAACAATTTTGGTGTATTCACACCATAATTTGACCTCTGACCTGTAACCAAGGCATAATAACAGTAACCATGGGAACCAAGGTAGCCTGGAGATTTGACATGAACTGTACTTCAAACCAAGGTAGCCTGGAGATTTGACATGCACTGTACTTCAGCATATAGGTCTTCATGTAAAGTGCCTGTTTATTGTTGTCTGATTTTAACAAAACTGGAATGCTTTGAAAAGTTTTAGTAGACTTTCCAACATAAAATGTTATTTAAATATGTTCATCCATTCTCATGTTTCAAGTGTACGGACAGACAGATAGAGAGAAAGAAAGAAATTCTAGGAGGCATTCCACATGGATGTGAATGCCCTTAGAAACAAATAACTTGAGGCTTGAAAACATGTTACAGTGAAAGAATTCTGTTCATTTAAACAACTCGTTGCCATTTACCAGCTGCAAATTATTATAATAATTTTGCAATAATTATTTTAACATTCTTAAATAGATTTTATGTAGGTATTTAATAACTTCATGCAGCAGATTTCTTCTAAGAAGCTAATAGTTACAAAGCTAGTCAAAGAATATTTCACATATTACTGAACCTGAAGATCAATTACCATGTTCTTAATAGCCCATCAATAAACTCTATCCTGAACCAGATGAAACTAATACTCAAAGTCCATAGTTCCTTAGTATGCTACATGCCCAACCCACATTGTCCTATCTGATTTGATTATTACAGCTCCTCATTATGCAATTTTCTCTAGCCTTCTGGTTATGTAAATAGATTGTAATATTTTCCATCTGTCAGTTACTTTTTCTCTCTTGCTCCCAAATGTTCTCCTTGCCATGTTCTTGTGTACAAGACCAAGTTTCATACCTAACCTAATCATTATAACATTTCAGTTTTGTATCATGTAGGTAATTGGAAAAACCAAATTAAAAAAGTATGTCTGTGGGTTAATAAATCAGGAGATACAAATTTTATTTATTATATGGAGGTCAAATTGCATATTTCCATTTTATTTATTATATGGAGGTCAAATTGTATATTTTGCTTTTTAAGTGTGTAAACTAATGAATGAGACATTCTGTAGAAATGCATACACACAGAGCGCAACAACGCTGCCAAGAAGTATCATAAATGTGACTTACATAGAAAGACTTGGAATCTTTTTTGCAGTTTGCTTTTGTGATGCATTTGTCTTGGACTGCCTCAAACACCTTTGGCATGGATGCAATAAGTGCCAGAGTCACACAGGGGTGTTTGTCTGACTTGAGAGCCATCACTTCTTGAGCCCTGAATGAAGCACAGTAACCAAGACCATTATCATGACTTCAATTATAAACAGCTGACAGAACAGGAATGGTAGAGGAAAGGTCATTCGTCATATTCATATGATCATAACAGTTTATTAACAGAGAAATAAAAGGTATAATGTTTGTTTTAATTTATGTAATGATTCCTGTGCATAAATATACATTTAAAAGAATATTCCCTCTGGCAAGTTTGAGTACTGGTACCTTTCTAGGAAATAACTGCACTGACCATATTTATCTCAACTATAAGCGGTATTTTACAAAGACTGGACAAGTATTCAAAGATTGTTTTTTTAGGTATATTAAGGATTCAATCCACAGGTTTCTGAGAAACACAAGGCACCGGTTGGTGGTGAACTGTACTTTGATAAAGAAATTACAAGCATTTACCTCTCCTCATGTGTAACCATAGCAAGTGCAGCCTCTGGAAACTTGTAATAAATGGCGTAGTCTATTGCACTCATATCATGGCAGTTATACAACAGCTTGCAGTTCATGGACAACAACAAGGCAACAGCACTTGGTTTATTATCCATAGTTGCCAAATGTAGTGCTGTGTTCTGTAATACAACAATATTTTTTTCTGTTTCAAGAAGCAGGTTTATAATTTTCACACAAAACGTATTCATTGTACACTAAGTATTTAAATCCTTGTACTGATGGTTTAAGAGCCATTGTTGTGTGACCAATACAACATCTGCAAAATAAAACTCCCATTCAGTAAACTCTCTATTCTTGTAAGGTTCATTGAGGCACAGAAGTAAACCATTCAAAGCTGACATTAATACTGAATTAGAAGCCTACCCCATCTTTGTCAACCTGATCAAGTAGGTGTGAATGTACAGAATGCAGCAGTTCCATGGTCTGTGTGTAGCCGCTCATTGCAGCAAGGTGCAGTGGGTTACGTCCGTTGTGGTCTCGGTGCAAAAGAGCACCTCTGTTCAGTAGCAGCTGCACCACTCGGGTATGTCCTGTACATGCGAAGCAGGAAAGTTTGTGAAATTAAGGATACAGTAGTATGGACACATGTTATGCATGAACAACAAACAGGATTCCCATGAAAGCATAAAAATGAAGATGACAGACAAACAACCATTCTGAAGACTAAGTGAATGAAGATATACAAAATAGGATATGGATGGAATGGATACAGATAAAACAAAAGCACTTGTGAACATACAGAGAGGAATGGAGAAGGTTTCTTCATTGCTTTAAATCTGATAAAACCAGCAGCCGGTATAAAAATCTTCATGAGCAGAAAAACACTGTATTTAGTTCAGTTCCTAATTACCACATGATACTACCATCTGCTCTATGCACTTGCATGTATGCAAATGTAACAGATGAGATTGTATGAGAGACAGAAGAAAAATTAAGAGCATGACTTGAAGACTGATTTAAAAATTCATAAAGAATTCTAACAAAACAAGAATCTATTTTATATACCACTTCATAGTATGTAAGAAATAACAATTTTTTAGAGAAATTTCACTCTTGTGAATATATAAAGAAGTCAGTAGTATTTTCCATTATGCACAATTTTCATAAATCCTCACGTAAATCATAAGCCATAATATTTGACCACAAAATCTTGAAAACAAATGTGGGTAAATTATGCAATCAATTAATGACTGTTTGGTAATATTATAGATAGTGTAAAGGAAATTCAACTATTTCTTACAAAATTAGGTTGCTTAAGTTTTATTAAGATATGCTGCATGAACTGGATATGCAGTTTAATTTACCTTGCTGTGATGCAATATGTAGAGGAGTTAGACCCCCACCATCGCTTTCATTGATGATGAACGACCCTTTCTCTGAATCTAAAAGTTGGCGAACTGTGTTGTACCTCCCATACCTGAAAAATAAAATTATTTGATAAATATTCAAACCGGTAATATACATTGCTTATGTGTTCAGCAGCCATTTACACTTGCTTAAAGGTTTCAGACAAAAACATTTGGACATAATTTTAGTGAAATGGTCTCTATGAATTTATTATTTTTGTCTGTTCTAAAGAAAATCCTGCAAATGTTTGTAAACTAATTCACTTTCATGTTAGATACCAACCCTATTGCTGTCATATGTAACTGAATTTGGAAAAGCATCCATTACTGTTTAGTGCAACACTTGACTTTAGTCAACACCAATAAAAATTTCTCTCCTTTTGCTGCATCATTCTATTTCATTCACTGAGCTATGAAAACACATTTTTGTTGGTCTGCATAGTTCTGCCACCTAGTTTGAAGAATTTTAAGCTATACAAAAATGTTATAATAAACATATTAAAAATATAGGATATTTTTCTAATTTTTACCTTAAAATTGCATTATTTCAGGAAACTGGTGAGAAAATAATTCACATCAAATGGTCCAACTACTTTATATACACAGATATTATCAACGTGATAAGGGTGACAACAACAACAACAACAACAACAGCAGCGACCGTATGGCATTGGAGTGTGGGTCATATTCTAGAAGAATTGGGCATATTTACCCTTGCCACAAAACTTCAAAGTGTTCTTCACACTGTGACCCTCACCTGGCTGCAAAGTGCAGAGGACTCTCATTGTTATTGTTCTTGAGGTTGATGCAGGCACCAAGTCTAATGAGATTCTCCAGGCTACGGATGTGGCCCTCACGACTTGCATAGTGCAGTGGGGAACATCCTGTCTTATCCTTTTCATTGAGGAGTTGCAGCAAACTGGCTTTAGACTGTACCTTCATAGATTAATAACACAACTGCTCTGTACTTCATATATCAAGACAAACATTCAACTGAAGTGGAAGTTTTTTCAGATGAGAAAAGAAATATCTGGACAAAGACAGAATTATCAACTTTGATAAAAAGTAAACAGAACATAGTTCTACAGCCTATGAGAAGAAATAAGTTCATGTCTAATTGTAAAACAACTCCACTCTGAATAAATCATGTGTGTTTCATATGTATGATAATGCTAGAAGCAGCTCTATGGAGCACAATCCTGGTATGACAAAATAAATATATATAAAAATTAATGCTAACACTAAGATTATGGTAGAAACTGGTATACAGAAATGCTCATCAAGTTAAAATAAAAACAAAATAGAGATATACAAGATGGATTTCATAGAACATGTTAAAGAGTGATTAATTTTTCAAAAGCAATATGTGCACTGTAATGGAGTAACACAACATAAAATGGTACAATACAGTAATATTTTAATAATAAAATCATTAAAATCCCCAGCTAACCTTGATCATTTCATCAGCAAATTCCTCAAGACGCCCTCCATTCATAACAACAAGATGTAAGACATTGCGGTAGTTTACATCTTTTAGATGAATGTTTGCACCCAGCCGAATGAGGATCTGCACCGTTCGCCAGCCGGCACGAGAAGAAGCCAACAGAAGAGGTGAGCGCCTCTCCTTGTCGAGAGTGTTGATATCTGCACCCTACAGAAGACAATGTATTAACTCACTCATAGGTAATGAATTATGTATTTTTTTCGTATCACCAAAAGGTTTATTTACTAATCTCCAAATTAAACTATATATTTGTGATCAAGGAATCAAACTGTATTGATGATTTATGATTCATTTGGCATTCTCAGTACCTTTTCATGTAATTCTGCAAACTTATTAGATTCATATTCTCATGGTTTTGTAGGTTCTTACCTCACAAACCAAGTACTCTACAATTTCAGGGTGATCGAACATGGCAGCACAGTGGAGTGGTGTCATTTTCTGTACATCACAAGAAGCCAGGCACTGCTTCTTCTCTGCAGGTTGCATACTAAACATCAGCTTCACAATGTCAATAGCCCCTTGTGCACATGCAAGATGGACAGGAGTGGAGAGATCGTGCTGCTGTGTCGATATCTTGGCTCCTGACTTGAGGCACAGCTCCACAGCCTATGCCGGAATAGCAAATACACTTGTATTCAGCTCTTTCACTCTTAGTTAAGAAACATATCTTGTTAGATGAGCATTAGGAAAGATTTCAGATTCTCACAGTGATGATTATGATGATGACTGTCTTCAGATGACTGATGTCAAATATTCATCATGTTTTCAGATGTGCTGTGAAAAAGTTATTTTAAAAATGGTGAAGGGCTAAAGGATTCTGTATAAAACCATAGTTGTCATTTAGAAATAGATTTTATGGAATATGTCAGTTTGAACTATATCCCTATATTGATCATTATACAAAATTTGTTCCCTAAACATCATAAATGTATAAATATGGGTACATGTTTTTTATTTGAGCTTTGAAATACTATCTATTGACTGAACACTGAATTTTCTGGCAATCCTGAATTCTGCTAATGGAGTTCTTCAATATACATAATTTTAATGGAGTACAAAAATCAGTATGATTGATTATAAACATTACAATATGAATATGGTTTCAAATGCATTTGATACATTTCTGTAGCCATTAGTTTTCTGGCTACTTATTTCTTATGGAACAGTTTTAAGAAATAGTCTCCTTCCGGTAGCGTAAGGATTAAGGGCCTGAGTAGGACTGCTATGAAGAGAGAGAGATTACAGGACCTCCTCTTTAACACACATTTTATCCATCTGTAGAAATTTACCTTAATGTCACCACCATGAACAGCTGAATGAAGTGGTACATTGCCTTCAGAGTCATAGAATGATATCATCTCCTCTCTGGTACAACCTCGAGATTCTCCCCACTGCAGAAATACCTCCATTGTTCGTGAAGAAGCATTCTTTGCTGCCTCATGAATTGGATAATAACCATTGTTGCAAGGCCTTCGTGGACAAGCCCCAAATTCTCGTATCTATATAAGAACACAAATAATGTTTAGAAGGTGTAGGAACTGTAAGGCAAAGTGTCTGCGGTAACAGAAGATAAGAGTTGTTTGAAACGTTATTTTTTAAATGTCATTCTCTTTTTCTGAAATGTTGGTATCCCTGCATAATATATAATAAATGGAGGAGGAACAACAAATAATGTGTCATAAATGACAACATTTTGATGTCCAAGACAAAACAAAGTCAGTGAATGCAGGTCCAAAAGTGTGTCTGTAGATGGCATACGTTTTATCTCTAAATTACTGATTCTGTTAAATTGGATGTTGGGAGTTTAATCTGAAAGTTGTCCGAAATATTTCACTGTAATCTTTGGTCTACTATAACCATTACCTTACATGATCTTCGAATGTTATCGAATTCCCCCAAAATGCCTTGTAGTATAAGATATGAGTCATGTAAGACAAGACCTCATTAAAATATATGACATTCATTTAATATAATTTATATTTCCTAAAAAAAGGAAAAATAATTAATACCTCAATACAATAATATATTTATTGTTTATTATATGTAGCGTAGAATTTCTGCTGATTAGCTCTATTAGCAATATCAATGTATCCACACAGAGTTATAAATCTATTGTAAAGACATCTAATCAAGTGAATCTAAAAAAGAAAATGTTTTTTAAAAAAATGTTTATGACTTGGGGGATGAAATGGAAATAATGTGCTTCTAAGGTATGGGTTTAAATATAAAATATGCCAATGCTAGGATTAAATTTTAAGTACCAAGAAGGAAAAGAGCAATTATGATATGAACGATTATTGCATAATTTTATATGGTAGAAAACGAAAGGTGACAGACTTAGAAGTACATGGGAATGAAGAGGCTTTATATTATGTGCCTGTGATGTGTTAGGTTATGAACTCAAATAAACTGATGTTATCAAAATATTCATGCTGTTTCATATAATGCTAACATGGCATGCAAGACTCTGGGGAGTCCCATGGTGATACTCTATACTGACTGTCATGTGTTATAAAACATATGAAGGTTGGTCAGACTGCCTGGTTAAAAAGTGACAAATCATTACTTTTTCTTTTTCTTCTTTCTTACAAGAGTGACTTGTACAATGTTAGTGTCCCAGAATTATATCGCAAAGTTACTTTCATAAAAAAACCATATGTAAATGACCATATTATGTCAGATGTAACTGCAGCATAACTTTTATTATTATAATTTTGTTTTCCTGAGATGGTATAGTACACACTCTATGCTGACTCTATATAGGCTAAGAGCCATTATAAGTTAATATTTATTGCTTTCATATTAGATAAGTATGAAGTTATGTTTGCTTATTAAAAGTACCTCTGACTGAAACTTCATGACAGAGTCCATGTGGTATTCTAGCTGGCTAACAAACAAACAAGAAAGTAGTTAAAAACTAAGAAATATAAACAACTATGAAAGTGAGGAAAGCTAAAAAGCCATTGATTTTAACTATCTGGTAGCAGAAAGAGACTAATTAGAATTGTTTATTTAAAGGTAGACCACTTGGTCTTAGGCAATTCAATCCAGCATAGCATCAAAACTCATTTTCCCACGGTCCATATTAATATCACCCTCACAACATCACATCAGAATTCAAAATCGCCCCCTTTTCCAAGATATTTGACCATCAAAATCCTAAACTCATGATATATTTTCACAATATGTGCAGACATACAACTTACTCTTATTTTCATCAGCACAAGAAATCATTATAAAAATTACTTTTGTAAATGCACCTTTTGCTTTTCCTTAATTTAACACACGTCTCTCATTATAAATCTATTTTTAAATTACCCACCTTACTATACAGAAGATTATGAAGATAAAATCACTATTTCATATGAATCTGCACTTACAAGTATTCGTGCACACTCATCATGATCATAGATGGCTGCCAAATGAAGAGCTGTGCGACCATGTTCTCCCCCTTGCAGGATGTCAATGCGGTTTTTATACTTGCTCATTACTTCTAGTACCGCTACCTTGTTCAGTTCTGTCGCCAGATGAATTGGTGCCTGTTTCTTTTCATTCAGTATGCTTGTGTTCACACCGCTAAAAACATTACATCTTGTATTCTTATTTCACATAATGTTGTACACAAAATATATTTACTCAGACAATTTAAATAATTGCGTAAATTTGTCTTCCCTAATACGGATGAAGAAATGAGACTCTTTTTACCATATAATTTTCATGTAATTGCATTACCATGATTACTCAGTATGCAAAACTTAAGTACGGAAACTCTCGATAAACCAACACATTTACTTTACTTAATGTGTTCATTTCTCAGCTACTGACCTCTGTAGTAAATAATCAACAACCTCCACAGATTCATTTTCCACAGCCACATGCAAAGGCGTGTTGCCGGCATCGTCTTTGATGTTTAGATCTGGAAAAGTGAAAATTATTTAGTTTAGCACACTGACTTTTAAACAAAGTTCTTAACCCCTTGAAGCTGAAATCTGTCTAAGTAATATTTTACAATTCAGTCCATTCCTCAAAGAAAACACCATATTTCCATGACAATGTCTGATGACGGAGGCAGTATGACCTCTGAAACGTTGGTAAGCATCGACCAGACTACACAGCGCAACAACCCAGAAGACAGAAATCTTCATACTCACCGCTGAGAAAACCTCAAATCTTAAAATGACTAATTGGTTTATGATGTTTAATGACATAAATCCCGTTCACAGAGTGAATCATATGAAACCAATTTATAAAAATGAAAAGTTATTAATTGTTAAAGCAGGCAGTATATATGACAATGGGCTTTAAAGAGTTAATTATGATAATATTTTTTACCTTAAGAAAAGGATCATATATACCAGTTCTTGGGGTTATCCCTCTGATTTGCTCTCTGTCATCTGTCCTTTAAAAGGCAGTTATTATGAAAATTTCTATTAATACTCAATTTGCCTTTCACTTCACGATGGATATCCTAGACTAGAACAGCGATTTTTTTCTCCTGGTCCCACCCGCATTGAACATCGGAAGTCCCAGCTGTGGCTTACGAATGTAATACTAAAGTGTCTAGTGGCAGGCAATTCACTTGCAAGTTGACAACTGGCAAAGCGCCCGGCAGTCAGCGCTGTTTCAAGGCAGACAACACTGAGCGCTGATTAGTGGATTTATCAGATCACAGAGTGATCATAGTTGTGTACCTATTTTTAAATCTCCCTGTACAGGACGTACCAAAAAGATGTACACACACATTCAGTTAATGAAAAAAGTACATTTTAATCAACTAAACCATTACATGCGTCAGCACTGGTACTTTATGAATTAGCGTGTCTAGTGTGTACGTGTTCAGAATTACCACCGCTCGATTCGTGGCACAGTTGACTGCTGTGAACAAATGACTGACAAGAGGCCACTAAAGTAGTTGTGTATCGTACCTCCTCCGTGAGCGGCGATGAACTGTAAGATGTTCAGCTTGTTTCTAGCCGCTGCCTGGTGAGCTGCAGCCCTGCCCCTGGAGTCTCGCACACCGAGGCGCCCGGGTTCTGCCAGGTAAAGGCGCCCGAAATCCTCCACATTGCCGCTCTCCGCGGCCTGCAACATGTGGGACAGAGCGTTGAGTTCAGCCATTCATCTGCAGGAACCAGTTGCTGGACCACAACGAAGCGTTGTCTCCTCTTACAAACCACAAAACAAATTGAAGGTGGCAGGCTTCTGGAATATTGCGACCTACGTTTCGGATATGCTTATTTCCTCCATAATCAGGGCGATGTAGGGGGAAATAAGGAACCCTGAAACGTCGATCGACTTCTAAGGCACTTCACGGAGCAATATTCCAGGATTCCATGTTTGATGTGGTTAGTGAGACAAAGCACACGGAAAGGCAAACAGACAGACATTCCATTCTGGTCCCGAATTTATGGTCTTCTTACCCGTCGCCGTCAGAACAAGAAATCTCGCGTAAAAGAACGCGTGAAGATCAATATTTGCAAGTCTAAGCTAAAAATTGCCGAACTTACACAGATACATACTAATATCACATTTTTAATAAGTGTAGCATGCAGACTACACACTTTTATGTGATGTGATGAAGCATACGAGGACATCAGACTACAGAGTAACAGCCTTATAATTCTAGACCTTGGTGCAAAACAGCGGATAACTTCAAACAGTAATTATAACGTTGTTGGTTGGTTGTCAAAATTATTAACCTAGAAAAATAATAGCTCTATATTGTGGCGAAAGAGATGTATAAATTCATATACTTTCTTCGGGCTAAGTGTAGTATTGAATATTTAAGGCAGTTTTTGTCCTCCCGAGAAAAATATCAAATATCACACTTTCCCCTTTTACACGAAAGTTCTCGATTGATTAGAATAAATGACACGCCGTGGACGGAATCTAATGGCAGTGACAAATCTTCCAATTCAATTAACTAGAGACACTGTAGTTAACAGATGGGTTCCTGTTGATAGCTCTGGGAATTAACATGCAACGTTAGTTACACAGTTAAAATGCAAATTAGAAACACCATATTAGTTTTCACGCGAGTGGAAAATGTGAAGAGCACACAGAATTTTAAAACCCGAAAGAAAGCGACCACTTGGAAGCCCTAGACACAGAGTGACGGACGATAATATTAAAATGGATCATAAGGATGATGGAGTAACTGGGAGTAATCTGGCTGAGGATAAGTCCAGTGGCGGTAACATTCAGTGTCATTGTTAAGTAAGTAATCTGGCTGAGGATAAGTCCAGTGACGGTAACATTCAGTGTCATTGTTAAATCGATGATTTCTTGACAAATTCAGCGTCTATCGGGGCTTCAAAAAAGGCTCTACTCTGTGGGGTTAGTAGGCTTGTTTGTATAAACACACGAGGTAATTCGTCAACACGCGATAACATTTATAGTTGATTAGTTTATGAACTACGGTGTGGATACGAAACTTGGCTTAGAACAGGATTCCACAACGGGAGTTGACAATGGCTATGATAATTTAAAACTTCGCGTTTCTTAACAAGACGATATTCCCACAACAGGTGTTATTTAAACCTTATTTTATAATTAAATAACGTTCGTCTATACGCCTTTGTTTTCAATGTCTTATTCTTATCACAATACCACAACATGTTTCAGTGTAACCTCAGGTGGCATTTAAAGTTTCTATTGAACTACGTAAGATTTATGATCTATTAATATTTCAACGATGAATTATGGATGTAGATACAGTCTTTCAATAATTTATTTTTTACAACCTACATTATAAGACCTGTAACTAAATATACACTCAGAAGCAACGTATGTCGTGGTTTTACCTTAATTAGTTCTTCAGGGCACAATCTTTTAGGAAACTGAAGTCCCTTGAAGACTTTCCTCCAGTTCCGCGCCATCTTGTCAGACATACTTAAAGAACCGGAAGTTGAACTGCAGGAAAACCTCAAACTGAGCATAGAATGTTAGGCGTCGCACGTTAACTACCACGTCGCCACGCGCAGAGGATGCCACAGCCTCCAGGAACCCTGCTCTCTGCAGACTAGTGCTGGAACTCCCCTCTCTGTCTCCAGACTTCTACTATTTACAGCTCCAGCAGTGCTGAGTCTTCTCGCACTGTTATAATAATCTACCTTGGGAGCAGAGGGGGCGAGGGTTGGTAGAAGTTACCATGGTAACAGTTCGTCGGTACACCGAAATATACGACGTAGGGGTGTGTGTGTGTGGTCCACGTGACAGAGCAGCTGACCTTGATAGTGATTCGTGATTTAATTTGTGTGTATCGCAAAATTAGGAATGTCCCATAGCGAATATGGGTTCATTATAATTATTGAACACAAAGCAAAGTCAGGGCGATGAATTTACTGGAAGAACAGAGCAAGTTGCGCATTTGTCGTATCAATCAAAAGACGAATGAATGTTGTTGGTATTATTTTATCTCCCAAGACACGACTTCAGGACTCAAAAAGGCGTCGGACCAGCGAAGGACAAAACTTGGTACTGGCCTACAACATAAGTCTTACGACATTAACGCTGAACTGGAGTAAACCATGTTTTCATTTACAGAAAAGTTGTGTTTCAAAATATTGTTTATGTTAGCGGGAATCAAATGAAACATAGCACATAATTTATTACATATTTTACAGAAGAATTAAGATCTACTTTACGTAACTCCATGGCGCAGATACCTTCTTGAGAAGCTAATAGTCGCTAACTTACTCAAGAAATTCCTTAAATTTTATAGAACCCTAAAGTTCACTACTGCGTTCACATGTCCTTAGCCAGATGAGTCCACTCCACACTATCGTATCATATTTCTTAAACATCCACTACACTATTAATCCTCCCATAAATTCCTAGGTCTACGTTAAGGTTTTCCGCCTAAAATCGTGTATGAAGTTCTCATTTTTTTTATATATGACACATGACCGCGCCCATCCCATCTTCCATGTTACAATTTAAATATTATTAATGAGGATCAAAGCAAGGGCCACCTCATTTTTCGTGGTATTCAAGGCAATTTTCTCGTAAACACGCGTTACAAGTTTCAAAATCCTTTCTGTTTTAAGTTGGACTTGTTTCGTTGTTACTTTCACCCAAAATATCTTAACCGAGCGTCATATACGGTTTTCAATAATTGTTATGGAAATTCCCATTAAGGCTTCTGGGATAGTTGTTGTTTTCGTCTTGTGTGCAGCCTTATCCCAAGCCACGACGTCTCCCACGGGACACGGCTTACGATTGGGCGTGCTATAGGAGCAACGACTCTATAATGGAATCAAGGAAAAAGGACCATGGGGCATGTGAAATCAGAGTTAGACTGGCCCAGGGGACACGGAACTGCGATGCTGAGGTCCCAGAACATTTGCGTGCATTGATGACACAGCGTCTGCGCATTGCGCTGCCATATTAAATTATTTCAATGACGAACCACTTACTTCGAACCATTTTACTTAACTTAGTGGGCGTCGAACATTCGCGAATTCATTTACAAAAACTGTAATTATCTGCTAGAATTCTTATTTCTTTGTAGCCAATTTTTAAAGAGTAAAACACGAAGTTGTTTCTTTTACTGGGGTTTACGGAAGGCGTTGACATTTAAAGAAAACGTTCTCGGAATACTTGTCATTAAGGCTGACGGGGGGGGGGGGGGCGCCC